AGCTTTGGAGCAATTTGGTCCCAGAAAAATGCTCCAATATGGAGAAGGGAGAAAATTGATGTCTTTAGACTTGGATACAATTATTTGAAGCCAAAAAAAAGACTGAAAAATATGTGAATTTTTCAGCTTAAAACAATGCAAAAAAACTATGGAACAGATTTTTCTATAATACTAGAAAATTGGGACATTCCAGAACTAAAAAGGAATTTTTAAAGAAGGAAAATTGTCAATCTGGAGCTTCTGAACAGTGAAAAAACATTTTTAAACCATTAAAAACCCCCTAAACTCACTCAAAATCGTCATTTTTGACAATTTTGAACTTTGGTGTCCAAATGGACTAGTGGATTTTTCCACCAATTTTTACCGATCTCAACACCAAAGTTCGATTCCACGGGGTGTAAAAACTTTTCTGATTTTTGTGTGGAGCTCGAAAAATTCATTTTTATTTGTTTCGAACGTCTGGAACGTTTTTCCCGGTTCAAAATTTCCCTGAAAATCAGATTTTTGAAAATTTCGAAATTTTGAATTGTTAACATTTTTACGCGTTTGAAGGTTTTAGACATTAAGAAACTGCTCAAAATCGGCTAGAACCCCTAAAAATCATCTAAAAACGTAATATTTGGCCGATTTGAATTTTGGTGTTCAGATGGTCTAGTGGATTTTTCCACCAATTTTTACGGATTTCAACACCAAAGTTCGATTCCTCGGGGTGTAAAAACTTTTTTGATTTTTGTGTGTACATCTAAAAACTTTTTTCCCTGTTTTGGCAAGTTAAACTTTTTTTGAAACTTCAAAATTGGCCAAAATTCCTAATTTTTGAAAATTTCGAAACTTCGAAATGATAAAATTTTGACGTTTTTGGAGCTTCTAAACACTGAAAAACTGCTCAAAATCACTTGAAACCCCTGGAAAGTCCCGAAAAAACACGGTTTTTGACTATTTTGAATTTTGGTGCTCAAATGGCCTAGTGGATATTTCCACCCAATTTTTAGCAATCTCAACACCAAAGTTCGATTCCTCTGGGTGTTAAACTTTTTTGATTTTTGTGTGGACCTCGAAAAATGCATTATTATTTGTTTTGGACACTTGAAACGTTTTTTTTTTCAATTTTTTGGATCAAAAAAAGTTTGCATTCCCATTTTTGAGCCCTAACTGTATTCAATGTGGGTCAATTTCAAAGAAAATTATATCAGTCGATAGGAAATTCAATTTTACGTTGAACCATTTAAAAGTAGATACAAATGAACCAAGAAAAATAGCTTAAAAGTAAGAGAAAACCCAAAAATAAGCCAAAAACATTTTTGGGGTTCTATCACTTTTTTGAACTTTCTAAACTCAAAATTTTGGGTTAAAGGTGAAGTTTTTGTAGGGGAAATGCTCAAAAAACATCAATTTGACCTTAAAATGTGTAATTCAGATTCCGGAAACATAAAAAATAGGAAAAGTTGAGAAAAATAGAAAAAGAGAGAGAAAGAATTCTAAAAGTCGAGGAGGGGTCAGAATTGTGCTCTTCCTCGATTATGCAAATATGAACAAGTTCTTCTTCTTCTTCTTCAGAATAAGAAGACGAAGAAGATGACGATGATGATGACAGAAAATAGAAGACGGACGTCTTCTGGACTCCAGAAGACGTGAGGAGAACTTTTGATTCAATCAGTGGAGTCCCCTCCGGAAAATTTTGATTTGATGGAAAACTTTTGGAAATTTTAGGAATTTTAGGAATTTTATTTTAGGAATTTTAGGAAATTTTAGGAAATTTCCTCATTTTTCAAAAAAAAAAATTTTTTGCGAAATTTTCAATTTTTCGAAAATTGTTTAAATGTGCTAAAATGAATTCTAAACGCATAAAAATGATAAAACGAGTCTTTTCACAAGATTCTGTAGCCTATATCCGTTTTGAAATCCGAAATAAGTGATTTCTTCCAAAACTCCAATGAATCGTAGTCCTTCGAAAATCACCCAATAGCCCTCAAATATTGTGAAAACATAGATTTACATACTTCTTGACTGATTTATAACAGTTCCGCAACCAATATGATCTGGTAATAGGGGGATTTCGACTGACATTTTGATTAGATAGAAGGCTTTTCAGCAGTGCTTCAAGAATTTTTCAGAAATTATCTTTTTCGAGCTTTTTTCCTACTGAAATAATAGAGCAAACATAGTTTTGATTTTCGAAAAGTTCAAAGCATTCCTCGAACATCAAAGAAAAAAAGAAAAAAGAAAATGGACAGTGACGGGATCGAACCCCAAACTTGTGATTACTATTCATCCCCACTATCCACTCGGCCACCGTTGCTCGTTTCTTCCACAGTGGAGAATGTATAGAGGAAAGGGGGGGGGGGGAAGTGGAAGGGAAGGAGGAGACCAAAAAAAACAGCATATTTTCAGACGGACTTTTCTCGGATTCTAGAAATTTGTGCAGAAAACCGAATACACCACAAGAAAGCCCGTATTTGAAACTATAAATGAGCAAATTTAATAAAAATTCTGAGATGAAGGCTAAACATGGTTCCCTTGTGAGAAACTTCTGAAAATCAAAAAATTGAATTTTCGAAAAAAAAAACACTTTGAAAATCCCGAAATTCAGGTATCCGACGATTTTCAGATTTTAAGATTTTTCCAAAATTTCAATTTTTGCTGGAATGTTCCAGAAGATACGTACCTACTTAGCATGAGTAGGTACATTCGCAAAGATACCTTGTCTCTCTTTTTCTCTCTCTCTCTCTCTCTCTCTCTCTCTCTCTCTCTCTCTCTCTCTCTCTCTCTCTCTTCAGAAAATGGAAGAATCTCGAAAAGCAAGACACCAGAAAAAGGGGTCGTCGCCTTCTTCTGGAGATTCATGAATTTTTCACAAACGGTACATATATTTATGTATATGAACACACGCCACACATATATAGATGTGGTAGGAGTATACTGAGGAAGGTCGGACAGAGACTTGGCTGGAATTTGAGAATTTTTCAAACTTCTCTGATGTTTTTAAAGCTTCTAAACACTGGAAAACTGCTCAAAATCACTTAAAACCCCTGGAAACCCCCAAAAAACACGGTTTTTGACCATTTTGAACTATGGTGTCCAGATGGCCTAGTGGGTTTTTCCACCCAATTTTTACCAATCTCAACACCAAAGTTCGATTCCTCTGGGTGTCAAAATTTTTTTTATTTTTATGTGGACCTCAGAAAACGCATTTTTATTAGTTTTAGACATCTGGATCACTTTAAAATCGGAAATTTCCAATTTTTAGGTGTAAGCAATTTAGAAAAATGGTGATTCTCTAGAAGGCCGATGTATTCATCTTTTGTGCCTCTTTTCCGCCATCAAAAGTTGGAAATTTTTAAGAAATTCTGAATTTAAAAGTTGCTAAAGCTCCTAAAACCATAAACGCCTCAAAAAAACCCAGAAAAAACAGCCAAAAATAATGATTTTTGAGCGTTTTCGAGTTCGACCTAATTTGGGAGCCTGAATTGAATTTTCCAACGTTTTATTCCTACATTTTTGACATTTTTAGAGTATCTGAACGTTCAAGAACATCCTAAAACCACTCAAAACCCTTAAAAAACCCTTAAAACAGTCATTTTTGACCATTTTGAACTATGGTGTCCAGATGGCCTAGTGGGTTTTTCCACCTAATTTCTACCAATCTCAACACCAAAGTTCGATTCCTCTGGGTGTCAAAATCTTTTTTATTTTTATGTGGACCTCAGAAAACGCATTTTTATCAGTTTTAGACATCTGGATCACTTTAGAATCGGAAATTTCCAATTTTTAGGTGTCAGAAATTTAGAAAAATGGTTTTTGGACTCTAACTTTTTTCAAAGTGGCTCAATTTTTATGAATTTAATATCAATCGATAGGAAATTTGATTTTACGTCGAATGATGTAAAAATTTTCAAAAAAAACGACGTACTGGGACAGAGAAACCCTAATATCAGTTGTCACCTAATTTTGACTAGTCAAGTCAATTTTTTGGCTCTAATTTTTACCAAAACACTTTAATTCTAAAGATTTTAATATCAATCGATAGGAAATTGAATTTTACATGATGCAAAGTTTGGGTAAATTCTATGATTTTGTTGTAATGGAATATTTGAAAATCTGAATTTCTGGAAATTTTGACGTTTTTGGAGGGTCTAAACATTGAGAAAATGTGAAAAAATCACTTAAAACTATCTAAAACCGCAAAAATCACCAAAAAAACGGTCATTTTTGACCATTTTGAATTTTAGTGTCCAAATGGCCTAGTGGATTTTTCCACCCAATTTCTACCGATCTCAACACCAAAGTTCGATTCCTCTGGGTGTCAAAACTTTTTTGATTTTTGTGTGGACCTCAAAAAATGCATTTTTATTGGTTTTGGATGTTTGGAAAGTTATTTTTTTTAATTTTAGGTCAAAAAATTAGTTTAGTTCATTTTTTGAGCCCTAACTTTTTTCAATGTGGACCAATTTTGACAAAAATTATATCAATCGATAGGAAATTGAAATTTGGATCGATTGAAATCAAATTTGATTAAAAAATCATGGATCTAGATGTTTTGGAGATCAAATAATGGGAAAAAAAAGGAAATTTTCCTAGTTGGATGTATAAATGAATAGAATAAAAAGGTTACGTATTCAGAAGAAGATGGGGGTAGTGCCCTCTTTTATGGAAATATCTGGAAGAAAATGAAAAAATATAATTAAGATAATTAGGTTGGGCAAGAGGAGGAGGGGAAACACATCCCTATGCTTTTTCTATAGAAATAGAATTTTAGAATTCTATGGATTTTTTTAAATAAAAGGAAAGACATTGAAGGCTGAGCAATGGAATTGTAAAAAAAAATGGAAACCTAAAATTCGTTTAAAGTCATTTTTTAAAATTTTCGAATTTTTGAAAAAAAATATGATTTTTAGGTCAAATAATCGATTTTTTGGGTTAAAAATGGCTAATTTTTTAAGGTTTTCAATAGTTTTGGTCACATTGAAACGCTCAAAATTGAGAAAAATAGGTCCAAAATCCTAAAAGCCATTTTTGGATTCATTTTTCATGGATTTTGGACCATTTTCATGACTTTCGGACCATTTTTCATAACTTTTGGACTATTTTTTATGGATTTTGGATCATTTTTCATAATTTTTAGTCCATTTTTCATGATTTTTAGACTATTTTTTATGGATTTTTGACCATTTTCCATGGATTTTGGATTTTTTTTCATGAATTTCGGACCATTTTTCATCATTTTTGGATCATTTTTCATGGATTTTGAACCATGTTTCACGATTTTTGGACCATTTTTCATGACTTTCGGACCATTTTTCATAACTTTTGGACCATTTTTTATGGATTTTGGACTATTTTTTATGGATTTTGGATCATTTTTCATAATTTTTAGTCCATTTTTCATGATTTTTAGACTATTTTTTATGGATTTTGGACCATTTTCCATAGATTTTGGATTTTTTTCATGAATTTCGGACCATTTTTCATGATTTTTGGACCATTTTTAGAGCATTTTTCGAGATTTTCGTACACAAAAAACTCACTATAAGTTCTCAATTTCTTATATTCCGTATCCGTATACTCAGTTCTCACGAATTCCGTCTGCTCGTCATCTGATCCTCCAGAATATCGTCCTTGACGTCGTTCGGGATGTTCTGGATTCTGCCAAATTACAGATTTCTCCTCTTCGCTCATCTGATGGATTTCGGGAGGTGGTGCGACGTCTTCAGAGCCTTCAGAATCTTCAGAATAGTCATCGTCGTCGTCTTCTTCATAATCAGAATGCCTTCGATGACGTCGTCGACGTCTTCTGATGGATTCAGAAGACGTGGAGTTCTTGGAGGATTCAGAAGAAATAGTAGAAGAGACTTCTGATGATGACGTGGATGAGGATTCAGAAAATGATGACGTCATCATAATGGAGAATAGAAGAAGTCGGATTAATTGCATTTTAGGTGCATATCGTCTACTGGAACACTTATATTATGTTGGGAAGGAAGAAATTTCAGCGATTTCAGAGAAAAGAAAGTTGCGAAATTCCGAAAATTCGGAATTCAAGAAATTCCTAGATTTCAGATTTTTCTGAAATTCCAGAAATCTGAAAATGGGAAAAATGGCAGGCTATTTTTTTTTCTAAATAATGCAATTATAATGTAATGAGATGTACATTTATTAGAGTTCTGCAAATGACACAAAATTCAAAAAAAATTAAAAGATGTAGAGATGGGGAGAGAGAGAGATACATTCATATTCCGGAAGCATTTTTCAACAAAAAATGGAAATTTTGACGTTTTTGGAGGGTCTAAACATTGAAAAAATGTGAAAAAATCACTTAAAACTATCTAAAACCGCAAAAATCACCAAAAAAACGGTCATTTTTGACCATTTTGAATTTTGGTGTTCAGATGGTCTAGTGGATTTTTCCACTCAATTTTTACCAATCTCAACACCAAAGTTCGATTCCTTCGGGTGTCAAAATTTTTTGTTTTTTGTGTGGACCTCGAAAAACACATTTTCATCTGTTTTAGACATTGGGAACGTTTTAAAAAAAATTCAGCCTAAAAATTTTTCGAAAAAAAATTTTTTTTTTTTGAAATTTTAAAAATTATGCGTTTTTAGAGTTGAAAAATGTCAAAAATCGCTGAAAACTACTCAAAACCATCTAAAATTCCCAAAAAACGGTCATTTTTGACTATTTTGAATTTTGGTGTTCAGATGGTCTAGTGGATTTTTCCACTCAATTTTTACCAATCTCAACACCAAAGTTCGATTCCTCCGGGTGTCAAAACTTTTTTGATTTTTGTGTGGAACTCAAAAAATGAATTTTTAAAGGTTTTGGACAGTGGGAACGTTGTAAAAAACATTTCAAAAACGTTTTTCATCCCAGAATGTTCCAAAAACTTCTCGAAAATGCTAAAACTAGTACATTTATCTTTTCCTTCCTCTTTTTCTTCTTCTTCTTCTTTCCCTAAAATTCCAAATTCCTAAAAGTTCAAGAAAACGAAGGAAGAAAAAGGTCAAAATGAGAAAAATCCGTCAAAAATTTCAAAGAAGAAGAAGAAGACGAAATGAGAAAAAAATGTGTATTTGACTTTCCTTTTCTGAGAAATTCAGAAGTTAGAAAGCGTTAGAATTCTGGAAAAATAATTTCGAAAAATGCCGTAAAACCTGTAATAGAAGGGCTTCCTGACTTTTAACTTTGAGCCAATTTATCTCGGTTCCTGATAAAGATATCAAAAAATTGTCAACTGATAAATTGTTTATCACAATATCTTATACATTTTACTAGTTGACACATTTTTGATATCTCTTATAGGAGCTGAGATAATTGAGCTCAAACTTGACAGTGTGGGGCGGGCCTCGCTAAAAATCCAAAAAAAAAAACATTTTTCTTCGAAAAATGTCATTTTGTGGTCGAAAAAAGAATGATGAGCAATCGATCATTTTTGCTGAAGGAAGGAGAAGAAAAGAAAAAAGATTGACACCCGAAATAATTTAAGTGAAAAGAAAAGGAAATTGAGAAAAAAGAGATGTTCGTTGAGGTGTTCGAAAAATTGAAGAGCCCCCACATACTGTCAAGTTTGAGCTCAAATATCTCAGCTCCTATAAGAGATATCAAAAATGTGCCAACTGATAAAATGTATAGGATATTATGATAAACAATTTATCAGTTGACAAATTTTTGATATCTTTATCAGCAACCGAGATAAATTGGCTCAAATGTTGAAAGTCAGGGGGGATCCTTCTATTCATGGAAATCTGAAAATTTCAGAAAAATGGAGCTTTAGAAACTTCAAAGTCAACAAAAACCAAGAAAGTCGAATTTCTGAAATTTTAGAATTTTAGCAAATTTCAGGCAGTTCCAAAAAGTTCAAAATTTTCCAAAAAATTGTAAAAAGTGCCCAAAAATAAAGTGTGGTGTTCTCTAGAAGTGTGAAAAAGTGTGACATTTCCTCCTCTTTTTTTTTTCGAAAAAAATACTTTGAAAGGTGCTTTTATGTGAATTGGACTGCAAAATAAAAGAGAGGCCGAAAGAAAACGGGCGGTCCGTTTTTTTTTCTTGAAAAAAATTTTTTTTTTCAGCAAAAAAAGTAGTATTGCTCATTTTTTTGGGGGGTGGAAGAGGATTATTTTATGGACTCCATATGTCACATTTTTTGTAGGAGGTCCTAGAAAAAGTATATGAAGTTTTTAAAGTCGAAAAATTTGAATTTAAATTTGAAAATCCAAATAATCGTATTTTTCAGAAATGCTTACCGCACCGTCCACTTTGAGCCTATATATCCCGCTTTTTTTGAAAGATATCAAAAAGTTTGTCAACTGATAAAATGTTTATCATAATATCAGAAACATTTTATCTGTTGACCACTTTTTGATATCTCTCACAGAAAATGAACTAGCTGGATTCAAATCTGCCGATTCAGTATACGGTTTCGGAAATTCAACATTTCAAAATCCAGGGATAAAAAATCTGAAAAATTCGGATTTTCTAATCAAAAAATACCTAGTTTTCAGCTAATTTTCATAGCTGAAAAATACAATTTTTGAGGTCCCAAAAAGAGAAAAAAATAGCAAATATTTCGTGACAAGCTTCTCTCAATTTTCCCCAACTAGGCGGGGTTGCCTAACGCCGGAAACATTGTTCCCTCCCCTCGTTTTTCTCCCAATTTTTCTGTCAACTTTCTGACTTTTTTCTCTGGAAAAGAGATTGAGAGAGAGAGAGAGAGAAAAAAGAAGAATAATTTGGATATATTTTTAATAAGGAAAATAAGTTGAAAATGAAGTGAACTACCGTAAAGAAGACGTCAAGTGGTAGAAGAGGACGGTGCCCCCTTTTTAATAATTGCTCATTCTTAATTATAGGGTCCCTCTTAGGAATTTTGCCACGTGGCGTTTTTAGGACCCAAAAAAACGGAAATCCGCTTTTTTTTGTAATTTAGAAATTTCTAAACTTCTGAAATGTTGACAATTAAAAATTTCAGAAATTCAGAAATTCAGAACTTTCTGAACTTTCTGAAAAAACACACTTATAGAACGCCACCCGAATCGTCAAATTTGAGCCTATGTATCTCATTTCCTGTGAGAGATATCAAAAATTGTCAACTGATGAAATGTTGCTGATATCATGATAATCATTTTATCATTTGACAACTTTTTGATATCTTTCAAAAGAAGTTAGATATATAGGATCAAAGTGGACGGTCTTTTACAAATATTTTCAGATTTATATATATACTTTTTTTGGAATTATTCGAAATTCAGAATTTTCGGAGTATTCTGGATAATTCTAACACCCAAACCTGTATTAGAAAGGCCCTTCAAGAGAGGCTTGGAAAAATAAAAGGCCCGGGGGCCCCCCGCAATAGAAGGGCCCTCCGGAGGTACCTTGGAAAAATAGAAGGACCGGCCCTTCTAATACAGGTTTCACGGTATCCGATTTTCAGAAAGTTCTGAAACTTCTGAATTTCTGAATTTCTGAATTTCTAATTTTTTGAATTTCTGAATTTCTGAAATTTTTAATTTTCAACATTTCAGAAGTTTAGAAATTTCTAAATTACAAAAAAAAGCGGTTTTCCGCTTTTTTGGGTCTTAAAAACGCCACGTGGCAAAATTCCTAAGAGGGACCCTATAATTAGAATGAGCAATTATTAAAAAGAGGGCATCGTCCTCTTCTACCACTTGACGTCTTCTTCAATTGCTCATTCTTCGTTTATAGAGAGAAGAAAAAGGGGGAATTGGGGGGAGGGAGAGAGCAATTATTTATGATAATGAGTCGCCCTACTCCCGAGAAAATGTTTCCGGTTTTCGAGAAAATGACGAAAGAGCGGGAAATTGCAGAAATTTTGAAGGATTGTTGATCTGAAAAAGGGCAAAAATTTTGAAAAAATCCGAAAAAAAAATGTTTTCAAATTTTTTTTTCAAAATTTTCAAAGTTTTCAAAAATTCATTGTTTTCTTGTTATTTTTGACAAATTTTTACTATTTGAGAATGCTGTAAAAATCCCTATTTGTCCCATGTAAAAAGAAAAATGAGACACGACTCATAAAAAATTCATAATCTGGGAAAAAGAAGAAGAAAAGAGAAGAGAGAAATAAGGAAATAGTAAAAATTATCAAATTTTCAGAGTTTCGATTTTTTCAAAAATTTCACCCTTTTCCCGCAATTCCAAATACCGTAAAACCTGTAATAGAAAGGCTCTCTAATTTTCAACATTTGAGCCAATTTATCTCGGTTCCTGATAAAGATATCAGAAAGTTGTCAACTGATAAATTGTTTATCACAATATCCTATACATTTTATCAGTTGACACATTTTTGATATCTCTTATAGGAGCTGAGATAATTGAGCTCAAACTTGACAGTATGTGGGGGTCCTTCAATTTTTCGAACACCTCAACGAACACCTCTTTTTTCTCAATTTCCTTTTTTTTTCACTTAAATTATTTCGGGTGTCAATCTTTTTTCTTTTCTTCTCCTTCCTTCAGCAAAAATGATCGATTGCTCATCATTCTTTTTTCGACCACAAAATGACATTTTTCGGAGAAAAATGTTATTTTTTGGATTTTTAGCGAGGCCCGCACTGTCAAGTTTGAGCCCAATTATCTCAGCTCCTATAAGAGATATCAAAAATGTGTCAACTAGTAAAATGTATAGGATATTGTGATAAACAATTTGTCAGTTGACAAACATTTTACATCTTTATCAGAAACCGAGATAAATTGGCTCAAAGTTAAAAGTCAGGGAGCCCTTCTATTACAGGTTTTACGGCATTTTTTGAAATTGGCTCTTCTATTACAGGTATATTAGATTTTTCATATTTCAGAGATTTGTACGATTTTCTCTAAAAATTCTTTTCAAAAAATGTTCTAGATGCAAAATGAAAAAAATTTGGGTCACGCCCGGATGGACAAGTTTCCA